CACTCATGTCCTTTTGATATTTATCTCATCTAATTCCTGACTTGTCTTCCATTGCTTGTATCCTATAACTAAATCTTCCTCTCTTCACACCAATCCCTTTCCTTCTCTTTTCATGCACTCTCCGTGTATCGCTCAAATTGTTGTGGGTGTTCCTTTGAAATCGTTCCCTTATTCTCTTTGGCTTTTTTCCTAAAGTCATCCCATCTTTTTTCATTTTGCCCCACTGCTCCTGCTGCCTCCACCTCTCATGTCCTTTCACATCTTTCTCTCTTCATCTGGCTGGCTCCCATCCTCCCTCTATTTCCCTCTCTCTCTCTTTTACATACTCCCGATGTGCTCCTGCTGGCCCCGGTCTGTCCAAAGGGATTAATTGATAGTGAAAGATAATAAATCTTCCCATTAGGCGCAAGGCCCCTGCCCATCGCTCATTATGAACCCGCTGCTCCTCAACGCCATGGCCTGGGGTTTCCCCTGCTTTTTTAACAGGCACGTCTACCATCTCGATGCCAGCAAGGTTAATCTCTCTCTATCGCGGTTGATTGGCTACCTCACGTCACGACACATTCTCATTCATGCATGAGCACCGTTTGTGGCGGGTGTTTATTCCTTCCTTTCTCTCTCGATTTGCAGTGCACTGGGTTTTACATGAGAGATCCCAGCCTCACCGTGCAGCAGCTGTTGCATGTGATTGCAAAGGTACTCTGCTGTAGTGGTTTGAATTTTATGGATCTCAAAGAATTTTCATCTAGCAATGTGCATTTTTCCTTATTCACTATTGTAATGATGGATAAGAAATATAAAAACAATTCTAGTATCTGGGGGTGGTACTGAGACCTGTTTGAAAGATCTTCAGACATTCAATCTTCAATGGTTCCTCTTTTTCTTTGTTCAGACCACAGGTCTCTTACCTGCATTTGCCAGTTAATGTATTTTTCTCCCAGTCTGGGCAGCTACCTTCTTTATCTATCCTTACACCTATGGTGAGCGACATGCCATTATCTGCCCTGCTTTGTTCCTGAATAATAACTGACAAAACATACTATGAATATGTTGTTTACCATAAGACTTTGTAGTAGTATTTCAGTAGAGTAATACTATAAGGATGTTCTGAACTGTAATCGCAGAAGCTTTAAAGTGTGGGCATCAACAGTACATTTGATATATAGCAGTCAGAAACCAAAGGTCAACTGAATTTGTAAATTATTGAAGATGTTTCCCTGGAGACATAGAGATGAAAACCTATAACATTTTCTTTAAAAAGAATCATAAAGTTCATATTTGACTTAGTTAACTTTTTAACTTCTGCAACACTTTAATAAGATCTGTACCAAGCAAGCAGAGATACAGTATTGGTGATAATCCAATAACTGTAGATAAGTTATACTAAGTTAAACTGAATTGCAACAGTGGACAAAATGATACTCACTGCACATCATAAATGACTGTCACATGTTTGCTTACATGATTTAAGCACAGCAGCACAACACAAATCAATCGGCAGCAGAACAGGAGGTATAGATAGTTTGTATTTTTTATTTAAAACTTCATATAACCCATACAGCAAACTGTACAATTGAATTATTCACAGTGAGTTAAAAAGAAAATAATTCAATAGCTTTTCTTAAACATTTTGTTTAATTTCCCCGTGTTTTACTCAGATGTCAGTTATTCTAAGGTTCTCTTAACACATACAGTTACTAGGAAAACAAAATCTTTTTTTCCCTTTGTTTTTTACAAAACCTTACAAAAAACTATATTCATATAAATTCTGCATGTCCACAAGGAAAACCCTGGTTGGTACCAACATATTAATCATATTGTTTGAGAGGTTTTCTGCCAAATTATAGAAGCTCTGCAACTGAAAAGAAAGGAATACATAAAAAGGCATACCGTCATGACTGTTGGAAAATCAAAACTCACACACTGCTAATGGAACACAGGTTATGTAGCTTACATTTTGCATTACTTTTCTCTCACATTTCATACAATTTTGTGTAAAATGACATTATTATTAACATTGATCTATAAAAAGATATATATATATATATATTTATATATTCAGTAACCAAACTGACTGAATCAGCCAAATCAGAAACCCTGTTGTAACTAATTTTGATTATGATTTCAGTTCTTTTGACATATTAGAGACGTGTAATACACGCAAACTTGAGTCTTTGACCTGCATGAAAAGCTACAGTACACATGAGGGTAACGTAATGTAGTGTAGCCAAGTATCAACTGTGGCCATGACCAGGGGCCCTATTCACAACACTCTCAGACATCTCCAAACTTAGCCTAAAACTTTCCAGCTTTCCAGGAAGTTTTTGGAGGAACACAGTAAGAATAAGACAAAAACTGTTGATTGCTAGTATGACAAGTTATATTTAAAGGTGTGGAAAAAGAAATGATAAAAAAAAAACAGTGGAAGCACTGGAGAGATGAGCGATGTTTAATCTTAACTTAGTTTGTGGACACGTCTAACACCATTTTATAAGGAAACTTCAAACCTGATGTTACAGCGCAAGCAGAGAGGCAGGTGAGGGTGAATATAGCAAAGCGAGTTAACGCCTCCTTCCCGTGCAGCACCAGTGTCATAGCCATGTGTTCTGCAGTCTAAAAGCAAACATGGAGATTGCAGCACAGAAATTGGATTCTTCATGCACAGGTGAGCGCTGTGTCACTTACTTACAACCACTGGCAACGTTATCTTAAAAAAAAAAAAACGTAATAACACAATTTTCTCGTCAGCTTAAAGAATTTTAAAGCCTCTTAAAAAATCCTTGTCCCTGCTCTTAACAGTTTTTCACTCAAGGGGGCTCTCTTAAGGACTAAGACTCTTAGTGAATACCAGGATCTTGTCTTACCTGTAACAAGTTTCAATTCAAGTAACATTTTTTTGTAGAAGTTTCATGAATATGGCCCCTGGTCCTTATTGGATTCTCAAGAGAAGTATAGGGGCAGTTACATAAGATTATACTCCAAGGGAGTGTCCCCTAAATTCTTGGGAAAGTTCAACATTTTCATTTCACATTCACCTTGTAGAAATATACTAACCATCAAATAATAAAATGCATTTCCATTAAATAAAAAGAGTTTGGGGGCTATGGAACTGGGGAAATAGTTTAAAGTGATCTCTCTAATGAAATAAATAGCATCTATAACATATTTGACTGTGAACAGAATTCATTTATAACAGTATAAATTTAGCAAAATACATTTTCTCCTGCTGATCTTATCTACATACTCTACTTTGCAGAAGGGAATCAATAAACAATTATACAGAGACTCTCTACCAAACCAACGCTAAGTTTTACAGATCAGAGTTTCCTTGAATCATATATTTAGTCAGATTTTTTTTTTCCTCGACATTTCCACAACTTGAATCTCACAGAGGTTTGTTGTTTGTTCAGCTCCCACTTGGCAGCAGCTCACAGACTCTTCGAATCTTCCCACAGCTCTCACTTACACTTGCTTAACATATATACTTACTCGACAGACATTAAAGTCAACATGAACACACGAAACGTCTGTCCTCAGTCTATTCACCATCTATTCATCACTTTGTCCTTCAGCAAGTTCACACACAAGAAGTATGGAATTACTCTGTTCACACCAGGTAATGGGGTTAAAAAAAAGATAATCTTCAAAATCTTTCCTCATTTAAAACCAAACCGTGGCCAGTTTTCATTACACTCAGTGAAAAATAACTAGTTTCCCCCCCCCCCAAAAAAGTCTTTTGATTCACGCCTGTAAAATAAAGTAAGTGTTCAAAAACATGTTCAGAAAAACTGGGGACATTGAGCAGTCAGGTTGCCATGAACAAAGACCAGCACATATTTTGATGGATATGTCACATTAAATGCCCTCCAGTTTTAAGGACACAGTCTCTGTGCCTTACAAGTCTTTATTGATACAATGCCTTCCACCCCATTCTGTAGCATGCTACCATTTAATCATGGTGAAAAACTGAACCTGGACTTTTGGAATTGATTAATCGTTCACAAAGGACCAAAGTTATTTTTACGGATTAGGAAGTTCATCCAGTAGTTTTCTTTTTTTGATTGCTTTGTTGAGAATGACAGTTTGAGGTGAGGTTGTTTTTGGAACCAAGCAAAGACAATGCTACAACTGCCCCAAATACAATTCCCCTTCTACATATTACCCTGCACCGAGGGATTCGTAGAACCCTTTGATAATCCAATTTACACCAGTCCAATTTACTTTGCATGGACCACAAGGTGAGTGCTCTCTAAGAAGCTAAGTGAGCAGCTATGGCTCTTATTTGTCAGTATATATTTTGTTTAATGGTCAGATCTTTGGCAATTTAAATGATTGAAATTCAGTCATGTACAAAATAATTTTTTGAACAATTGATGAGTTTCTGGTCAAATTTATCACATAACACTGATCCAGTCATCAATGGCGGAATTTCGGGTTTAATATGGATTTCTCTCCATTGTAGCTTGTTTTGCATCAATGATTAACTTGTGAGCAACAATATACACATCGCAACTATAACCAATGATCTGCTGAACAGTTGTCTCGCTGATCGAATACTTTTACAGTGTCCCTGTGAACCAAGCTTTCAAACGATCCTTTATCATATCCTACTGCCTTTAACTCAAAAATAACCATATAAGCCTAGACAACTGGTTTGAGGTAACTTTATTCTCTGCTGTCAAAGGCCATTTAGGATTTTGTATAAATCAACAGGATAAAGGTTAGAACGTGATATTTAACAAAACTGATCTTCAATCTTCAACTGCCCTTCCTTGTCCTTTGTATGTCTGTAATTTATTGCCATTCTCATCAAAGCCTTTCGTCTTACTTCAGTCCAGTGCAATTCTCAGTCTTTTCCTTAACACTATGTGTATTTCCTTGTGTTTTTGTGTTGCGCACGTAAACATCAGACTTAAAACTGAATATTTGGGTGTACTCTTTTCCCAGAACCCCCCCCCCCGCATATTTTTTATTTTCAAATCTTTTGTGGTTTGGATTAACGTTGTGAATGTTGTCATACCTGTGTGGCTGATGCTGCCATTTTGAGATGCCCGTGTTTTGTTAGTGTCCCCATGTCACTGTGGTTGATGATGTATCTGGTGATTCCGTCTATGCCATTGTCTCTAGTCTCTGGCACTGCCCCTGACACATTGCTCATGAGGTTCTTGCCCTGGGGGGAACACAATGTCATGGGAACACAGGAGTCATCCCAGTGCTGCAGCTCATGTTGTCCTTTCCTGGGAGTCGTCGGTCGTTGTAGGCGTGCATGTTTATCACTGCATCCGTCTTCACCATGACCGGAGGCTGAGGCTTGTGTTTCACCCGCCTCTCGCAGGTGAACGACAGTCTGATCTCGTCCACCATGGCACTGCACAAAGACCTCTGGGCAAAAAGGGAGGATGCGGGGAGGAGAAAAAAAGGAGAAGAGGGGAAAGGGATGGGGGGTAAATGCCTTAGCTTTAAATTGTTCTGACAGTAGAGAGTGTCAACAGTCTAAAGAGCACAAAATGCATTAGAACACAACATTCATATTGTGTTAATGCTTGTGTGTGTGCGTGTGTCTGTGGCTGTCAGCAATGTCAAATTGCAGCTCCACCACATGAAGCCTGCACACAGTTCATTATTGTCGCTGTGTCAGAAAGCGTGAACAAGTAGGGTGCACAAGCATGCATGCAACAACTCGCTTAGCATGAGTCAAATTAGGTATTTACAACAGTAAAGGGTTCATGCTATTCTAACATCTCCAATGACTAATAATGGATTAATTCTCTATGCTCCAATTTGCAATTATGCCTGTTAAAATAAGTAAAAGTTGTAGTGTTACGGCCAAGTACTCCTGGGGATTAGCCACAGGCATGCAAATCCTTTTCCAACATGTTGTAACTAAAAGCCATGAATAGAGCACAGCTTTGGTTTGGAGGCTACGTGGTAAAAAACAAAACAGGCATGGTTAGAAACTTCTTTGGTAAAACAATG